CATCCTACCTTGGTCTCCAACAACATTTCTTTGGGTAGACATTTCCCTAGGTTGTTTTGCATGACAAACCAATCTGGGACTCCAGGCAACCATGAACCTATTAGCCCAGTTGTTGAACTGTCTCTTTCTTCCTTCGAAGCCATCTTCGAAGCTGGCTGTGAAGGCCACTGCTTGGCCCTGACTCCTTGTTTTGGGCCCAATTCAAGCCTTCTATGAAGGTGACCACTTTCCATCCCGTGTGAGGTTGGTGTGGGGGGCCAATTCCTAGCTTTGATCCCATAACTTGAACTCCTTTCATATCTCCTTTCAGGATGATTGCCCTTCATTTTGTAATAGTTAGGTGGTCTGGATTCATGTAGAGGTCACTTGCCTTTGGAGTGCACTCTAGCGGCTGTTGGCTCACCCATTAATGGTTGCTGCCTAATACCAGTTGGATATGGCCTTTTGTTATAAACACTGGTTGGTTTAGGACGCCTCTACACATCCTTGTATTATTGCTTCCCATCAATCGAAAGCCCTTTCAACCACTTGTAGCTCAACCTGCATCTGGGACACATTCTTTGCATGACAGCTGCCTCTAAAGAATCATCATCCAGTGCCTCTTCATTAGAGTTTTCCCTCTGGTCTGGCAAACCTTGTCTAATAGCTGGTAAATTTCTAGCATCTTTCTTGACAGTAGCCTGGCTGGCAACATGCATTTGCACATTGACTTCTTCCAATTTTTTCAAGGATAAGTTCTAGAAGTCTGGCACAATAACATTGGCTGCCACTTCTCCAATTTCTGGGAATGGATTAGTGTCAATCCCCATGGCCTTTTTTGCTTTAGCTGGGAATTTTAAACTCCCCTTTCGAATCTGCTCTTGGATCCTGTCTAAAAAAACAATGCAATTTTTAGTTGAGTGAGACCAAGAATTATGCCATTTACAATACACTTTTCCTTTAAGTTCCTCTAGAGACGAAATTTTGACTCCTTTTGGTAACTTCAGGAAGTTTGCAGCAAGCAAATGATCAAAAATGTCATCTGCCTTTGTCAAGTCGAAAGAGTATTTCCTATGAAGGTCTTTCTTTTTAAACAGTAGGTCTATTGTTGTGTCTTTATGAATTAATGCTTCACATATCACAGGTTCGGTTTTTTCCCACAATCTCTGCTACATCAATCTCATAATTAGGATCTCTCTAATACGTCTTGTATGATGCATTACTTCGATCTTGTTCTTTTTCTAGTAATGCTTCATACCTAGACATCTTATAGGTCAGTTCCAATAAGTCTCTAAACTTAGATGAGTTAAACTGCTTTCGAAGCCTAAACTCTAGACCATTTTGAGCCAATCTCACAAACTCAGGCTCTGGTAGGACAATCCTACATTTGTTTCGCGCTTTTTTGAATCTGGCAATAAATTGAGCAGGCTTTTCATCAGGCCTTTGACTCAACCTTGCCAAGTCTGCCATAAAAACTTCTGGCTCCGTTTGGAAGAATTGGGCATGAAATGCCTCTTCCATCTGTTGCCAAGTTTGGATAGAGCCAGGTGTAAGGTTAATATACCATACAAAGGCTGCCCCTGTTAGAGAATTTGGGAACAATCTCAACTTCATGTAATCATTATTGGTAAATTCACCACATTGAGCAGCGAACCTAGTAATATGCTCCACCATTGATTGGTTTCCATTCCCATAAAAAGGAGCAAAGTTTGGTATCCTAAATCCTCTTGGGTATTCATGTACCCTATCTACCCATTCTGGATATGGTTTCCTGTACACAGGAGTTTGAATCCCCCGAGCCATTGGTCCACACATCTCTCTAACAATGTCAGTAATTTGGTCCCTATGTACTATATTTTGTGCTTGTTGAACCACTACTGGAGGAACAAACACAGAATTTGGTGGACAACCTTGTGCCTGAGGTCCTCTTGGTCCATAGGGTGGCACATTTGGGACTGGTTGTCCTTATGGTGCTGGTTGCTATTGAGGGTATGGGTAACCCTTCTGAGCTTGTCCTGCGAAAAGACCTACGAAAAGTGCTAGAACAGGTGTTATGTCTCTTCCAATTGTAGGGAACCTTTCCAACCCCCCCGGTGTAAATTTAAACAGAGGATTACCGACCCCCCCTTGTGCCAGGTATGGCTTCGAACATGGGATTTGGAAACATCCTTATGCCATTTTCTTGTGTTGGGCCAGATCCACCAACTTGCATGGCTTCACTGTTAAGTAATGAGGCATTTTGATTTGCCATAGGCCTCGAAAGACGTTCATACCAAGACTGAGGTGATGGTCTTTCGTAGTTTTGGTTACTAGTTTGACCATTAGAATGCCCATTAATTTGCATAGGCTGTTTATCTCTAGCCAATCTTTGTTGAGGGACATTTGAAATTTCCTCCATATGTCTTGTGTTTGTTGGCTGGTTCGATCCATGAAGGATGTTGCCCATCTTTCCATTGTGTTCATTAACTGCTGTCCCATGGCATCTACTAGGCCACCCATGGATTCATTGGCTGAGTAGATAGAACAGTGGATAGTCCAATTCCTTGGCCTCGTCCAATAGTTTGAACATGTGGTACTTGTTCCGAAGTGCTGGTCTGTTCGACCATAGGTTCTGAAAGAACATGTACTTCCACAGGATGTGTTATCACATTATCCTCTAGATTAGGTATTTCTACCTCTCCTTCCACGCCTTTTTCCAAGCGTTCATTTTCTCCTTGTCTCATACGTCTAGCCATTTCAATTACTCCCACTGGGCGTGCCAAAAATATATGTTGGCTTTTTGACTCTTGAAGGTTATTATTGTAAATTTGAGCATGCCAGCAAGAATCAATCAGTCCTTACAGAATATTAATTTCCAACCAATTATCAGACGATTGTGTTTTAGTTCTTTCAGCCTCAATGAAGATGACTTCTACTGGTGACTTTGTTTTAGGAGAATTAAGCAAACAATGATTAAATGAAGAACAATTATAGCATTTCATTAAGAAAATGGAAGGCTTACAATGATCCAAATCAGCCTCGTAGAGGTTTACAGTAACAAACTACTTGAAACTACTCTTATGAATGAAGTGCAGTGCAGGAATTTAAAGTATAGGAATGTAAAGAACAAGAAATATAAAACTGGAAAGGAAAATAAAGTAGATAAAATTGGTTTTTTGGATCTCAGTCTAGGGGCTCTTTCTAGGACCTTCTTTGCTATTTATACTTCTCAATAGTAACCGTCGAAATGCGCTTCTAACCGTCGAATCATCCTTCCATGATTGCTGATCATGTTCCCTCACAGTTAGCTCCACTACGCCATGTCTGCAGTCAGGCTTCCCTCCTGATATTTGAATTTAAATATGAGTAATTGTTAAGGCCACGTCATCTTGTACTTCTCTGCTGATTCCATACTATATAGATCGATAATAACCAATACTAACTGCCACGTGTGTGATTATGATTGAAGACTTAAACTGTTTTCCCCATATTGCCCTCATCCTGCCACGTGTTGAACTGTGATTGGCTTGTACAAAATATGTAACCAACAGATATATAAAAAGAAGAGAACATTGCATTTAATGAAAATAACTCAAAACAATTGTATTTTTATGGATGTAAATATCGAAACAAAAGAGAGTTGTTTCTCATGCCACAACACTCACTTGCACCAAACACAGCTTCACTTGCAACTCTATAAAAGTACAAAAAAGTGTAATTACCTTGTTCTCATTTGAATGTATTATATATCTATCGAAAGAAATGTGTGTACATATATATACATAGACGTGTATGTGAAGGTGGAATTGGAAATGGAAAATGAAGAGTATTATCTGAAAATTGAGAAGTCCAGAAAATAATTCATTACCTCTTCATCAGTAAACAATACCAGAATTCAAGAAGATTTGAAAATGAATTTAATTCATGTGCTTGAATTTCGTGCCAATTAAACCAATTTTGATAAAGGCTACTAAAAACCATGAATAATGTTATATGTACCAATTGGTATACTAATTAGTACTAACAGATGATGTATCATAATTTTAGTGATTTTGGATATTTGTAATTTATATAATGAATGGGATCAGTAATATTGTTATAATATATGTTGGTATACTAATTGGTATACCAATTGGTGCATGTAGCACTACCGAAAAACCATTGGGTTTTGTATGAAAAAGATTTACGATCATTTAATAAGTGGAAAAAATTTGGGAACATACTATAAACTTCAATTATAAAAAATTTCCAAACCAAGTTAATGGTAATTTCATCATCCTCTGCAGCTACTTAAAAAAGTCATGCCTGACATCGTACCTCCAAGTCAAGAACGCTTAGGGGCATGCACCAGAGATGGATGAATTCTTTTTTCCTTGTGTTTTCCAAGTGTGAAACAATTTGAATTCATTAAGAAAATTGATATAAGCTTTACACAAAAGAAAATTGACGTTGTTTGACAAGCAAATCAGCAAAATATTTGTTAGCTGTTAAAAAAAGCAACTGAAAACAAAAGCCAAAAGAAAATATCAGAGAGTTCAAGTGCCTTAATATTTCATCCATTACATGACAATCCATTACACACAACACAACTGAGAATTTCTAGAATTGAGTCTAGGTTGACAATCCCAAGCAAACACATTATACAATACACTTTAGTCAGAGGAGTCTCCATCATGGAAGCCATCGTCACGATACGTAGGGCTGTAGTCATAATAATAATCATACAACATCGAACGCTCAGGCTTGAATGTTTGGATATGAGAAGCAAGCTTTAATATCTCATCATCACCCTCTTTGAAACCTAAGCAGTCCCTAACATCAAAATATTTAAGTTCTTTGCAGCCCTGCAAAATCATCACTAGGGCCCCTTCAGCCTATTTATGCAATTTCATTTGCTGAGTTTTTACCTTTCGAGTTTTGGATATATATAAAAATGCCATAGTGGCTGCTTGTCAGTAAATGAAGACATAGAAAAAAAATGGTGCTATACAAACGCTCTTGAAGGTTATTATTGTAAAAAAAAATCAACTAAATGAAGTTAGTTTGTAGAACTTACTTATCTGTAACATAAAGCAATGCTTCCTCTGTGCAACAGTTTGGAAGCGACAGAAAAGTTGCAGATCTAGCACTACGCTTAACTACAAACTTGATGAATGCAGTGACAGACAATTTATTATGTAATTGCTATTTATCAAGCAATCTTTATCTGGATTCATCATAAGGCCATGAATCAAATGAGAGTTTAGAAAAATCAAGTTGGCGCCAGCACAGAGGGCTGAGCGTGGCTTTGTACCATGACCTGTACGTGAAGGGAACATCCAATAGCAGTGATTCAATTCTAACTCTCTCAAACACATTCACCAAGCAATCCATATTCAAATCCTCCCATTTCCCTCCTTCCATCTACACCAATGTCAAATAAAGGGTAAGTATAAATATTATATATTTCTCTAAATAGAGAGAAAGATGAAAAAATTACGGCAAGGGGTAATTTATGAGTTCAAATTAGGATTAAAAGAGAAATCAAAATGTACAGTAACAAGTTAATCATACAAAACCAAAAACCAAAAACCCTTAAGAACATTCCCAAAACAAAAAGTGGGTAATCTCTAATTGGCTTGTATAAACTACTACATAACAAAAAACCCAATTCAAATACAAGCATAACAGGCAGATATAGAATCAGAAAATCAAGGAAATCCAAAAAGAGGGATTAACTATGCGATCATGAGGTAACCCAAGCACACCTGAAAGAAGTGTGGAAGAAAAAACACAGATTTATAAATTAATGTTGTTCTAAATTGATGAAGAAGACCTACCTCTGACATGATGAAGATGAGTAACAACAAAGTTTGCTCTGATTTTGATCACTCCGGCTGCCAGCAAATGCAGGATACGAAGAAGTCCATTTATAAATAGCAATGCATAGATAAACCTTCATTGATGAAGAAATAGCAATTTGAGAGCTGGGTGGAGGGAAGGTATCACTTTGTTGGGGTCTTTCCATTGCATTTTTTCTTTTCTTTTCTACCCTTTTCCCTCCTTACATATATATATATATATATATTACAAATTATTTTTTGCTGTTAAAATGAAAAATGGTAATGACCAAAATGTGCATTGGAATGTTATTACAAATATATTAAAGTATATATATTTGATGTCATATGAAAATATTTTAATTATGTTTTTTATTATTTTGAACAAACTACAACCTCATATCTAATTTGATAAATATTTGGTTATATAATTAAATTGTTCAATTTTTGAAACAATCTTTTTAACCATCAAATTAAGTCCTTTTTCAATTGGACTACATGAACTAAAACAAATAACTGTAAGCACTAAGTACATAAATTTGACAATTTTGATATGAAACCAAAAAAAATAGATATAATTTAAGAGATAAAAGTGAAAATAATCTTTTTCTCCGCTTACTAACTATTTATTAAGACTTTGATTAACATCACATTTGTTTATTTTATTTTTATTTTTCACATAAAAGGGTTGTCAATTAAGTTATGGATGTTTTATTTCTTGATTATTTGGGAGGTCATAACTTGTAAAAATCAGCTATCTTTTTCAATTTTGGAAAATATGGTGCTATTTTTTTATTTTTTATAATGCCTAACACCTACCAACGTGTAACTGATATAAAATGTGAAACCCATGAGTTTGTCAATCCCTTTTGTGTCTCTTCTATTTTTATTGTGGTTGTTTGGAAAGTGAGTTTTTTTTGTAGGTGTTTTTAGTTGTAGGATATTATTGGAGAATTTTTTTTTGTGTTTGGGAAGATAGTTGGGCTTTTTTATGGTTAGATGTAATGTTTGTGAGAGAAAAAAGTGAAATAATTATGGGGTTTGATGTGATATTTTGTTTGGATTTTTTTTTTTTGGTTTTGTAAAATATTTGTCCTGTAGTGAAAAAATTAAAAAAAAAAAAATCCAAAAATCAAGTTCCCAAACACCGCCATTATTTTACAAAAGGAGAGTTTTAAAAACACACACATGACACAAACACTACCCCTGATTTTGATTGCCCCATTTCCTAGCCAAAGTCAGTCCATAAACAAACAAAAGATTAAGAAATGAAAGGTATCATTTTGTGAGAGACTTGGAAGTCTTTCATCTTTCTTTTACCTTCACATTTTTTGTTCTTTTTCCTTTCTTCAATGCTAAGTACTTTGTTTTTTTGTTTTGTTTTGTTTTGTTTTTTTTTTTTTTTGTCTCATTAAAATAAAATAAAAAGGCATTGCTTTAATAATAATTTGATTTACTTTTAAACTTAAATTGTTGGATTATCTTCTCTGACTTGTGTTGTTATAATGAAAATTACAACAAAATTATTGCTGAGAAAAAATAACCAAATTTCACAATTGAGTAGATCTATTGTAGATAGACAACCATATTTGCTCTCAAAATCACCTATAAAATAATCTCCCTCTCCATTAGGTGGCATGATTAACAAAAGTTAAAATTCGATGATCGTTATCCCATTAAATCAATGAAATGATAACATAAAGCTTGAGCAAAATATGAAAATATTTTCACCCATGCTTCCACAAGAAAGCCATGGAATTGAAAACATTTCAAATTGTTCTTGATATAGCTTATAAAAAGCACAAATTCAAGAACATATATTTACAAAATTGGAATCATGTTACTCATGAAATTGCAGAAATGATTTAACAGAGAGAATACCACTTTTCTAGTGCTTACTTTTTTCTTTTCTTTTTTCTCTAATCCAATTTCTAATGCTTAAACAAATAGATTCTCTACCATGCAATGATCAAATGAACCAAACAAAAAAAAGTAAACAAAAGACATGTGAAGAACAATATCCCGAGTTTGTATCATATTCATATCAACCAGAAAGGAACACCACCAAATAGAAGAGTTAATAGTTTAAATGGAAGCTAACATTACAATCTTTCCTTGCTTTTTCTTTCACCTTTGCATTACACAGATCCAAGAAAGTATATATCTGCTCTCAATCTTCTAGCTTTGACTATGGAAATATCATAGACATTAAAATGCTAATTTAGTTATGTTTCACATATTGAGGAATTTCTTCACTTGATTTTGGATGCTTGAAAATTGTAAAAGTTTAGATAATTTTTAATTTTTTTATGATGGAAATTTTCCTATTCGAAGTCTGAATCGACTGAACTTGGAACAGGATTATGTGCCGACTGTTTTTGACAATTTTAGTGCAAACGTGGTTGTGGATGGGAGCACTGTTAATTTAGGACTTTGGGATACAGCAGGTAAGTTCATATTAGCCAGTGATATCTTCTTCTTCAACGAACTCTTCACAAGTGCTGGATTTGACTTGTTTGTTTCATGGAACAGGTCAGGAGGATTACAATAGATTAAGACCCCTGAGCTATCGAGGGGCTGATGTCTTTATACTTGCATTTTCTCTGATTAGCAAGGCTAGCTATGAAAATATATCAAAAAAGGTAAGAATAATCTTTTCTTGTAAAGATAGATGCCTTTCTTCTCTGATCATAAGATAATTTTCTGTCTGATTAGATAGCATGCTGATACATGCTTCTTTTTTTTGGGGGGTTCTGTTTTCGATGGTCAGTGGATTCCTGAATTGAGGCATTATGCTCCTGGAATTCCAGTAGTTCTTGTTGGAACAAAGCTTGGTTAGATTCTCTTTCCTATCCTTTTCGTTGTTCTAGTTAGTTCTACTATTGGCTATTTTCAGACATTTGCATCTAGCATTCTGTCATAAATGTTAGATTTGCTCTTTGAAAGTTTTCACCAGAATTTCTTTATGCCCATGATTGCAAACTTACTTACATTTAACAATTTTTAACTCCATTTCCAAGTTCTTTTGAAGCATATCTCGATAATTGGGCCATTTTGACATACAGAAGGGAAGTTTTTGCAGAAACATTTTCAGTTTTGCATCATTTATCCCCAAATATCCATTACCTATCTTTCTCTTCTTCTTCTTTTTTTGGGGGATTAATGGGAAGCAGTAGAAAGTTTCAGTTATGAGCTTTTCACAAAGCTTTTCTTCTATAGTTGAAGAGTGCTAAGCTGCCATGTGAGCCTGAATAAGGGTTGGTTTGGCAACCCTTGAAAAATCCAAAAAGTTATCAAAAAAGTTAAAAAACTATCACTATGCACCAAAAAAAAATATTAAAAAACTAATATACAAATATTAATACAAATAAAAAAAAACCCCCAAGATTGGTACTGACATCTTTCCCTTCTGCATCAATTGCATGATTTCAGAGTTTAAAAAAATTGGCTTCAAATGTTGTATTGCTTTTATTTTTACTCAATATATGAATGTATCCATATCTGTTCGTGTGAATATTGGTATAATCTCGATATATGAATCTTTATCTTCTGCATGAACGCATGATTTCAGAGTTTAAACAAACTTTCATTTTCTTAGCAGTTTTCTATTTATTTATTTTTTTTAAAGCCTAGCATTTTCTAGTAACATGGAACAAATTTTCATTTGAAACCTTCGCTGGCTACATGGTATTCTTTAAAAATATATATTTTCTTAAAAAAAGGTGTACTTAAATAAGAACAACATAATTATAACTTTCATAAAGTTGCAAGAAGTTGTGTTTGGTGCAAGTGAAAGTTGTGGCATGAGAAACAACTCTCACTTGTTTTGATTTGTACATCCATAAAAATACAATTGTTTTGAGTTATTTTCACTAAATGCAATTTTCTTTTCTTTTTATTTATCATTTATGCTTACCCTTCATCTTCAATTTGTGTAGATGGAAGGAGAAAAATGGAAGGAATTGAATATGGATTGCTTGGTGAATGTGTTAGGCAGAGTGGAAATAGAAGCACTGCTAATTGATGTTCCGTTTGCGTGCAAGTCACGGTACAAAGCCACGAGGAGTCCTCTTTGCTGGAGAAAACTTGATTTTCTTGAAATCTCACTTGATGATTGCACTTCTTTATTTTTCTTAGCAAGATTAATCGATGACTATCAAGTGAAGGGAAAATTCTCTTTCATAGCAATCGTCAAGACTTTAGTTAAGCGTAGTGACTACATCCACTATGTATGTATCGTTTCCTGGCTCTGGCTTCTATGATGAAGTACTGTTTTACATTGCAGATCAATGAGTTCTTCATGCCCATTGTTGAAGAAAAAGTTCAAAGAAAAAATGACACATTTTTTTTTTTCAAACTCAAAACACATTTTATGGATTTCACAACTTCTTTGTTTTTTTTAAAAAAAAATAATAATTATTTTTAATGTACTTTTTACCCAATTCCAAAACAAATAAGTATACCATGGCACTAGTTAGCATTTGACAAAAAAATGAATATTTTTAGCATTTGACAAAAAAATGCATATTTTTATTTCCTACTTTACAAATTGGCTTTAGGTTGCTGAGTTTTGTGAAAATAGAAGTGATGGAGAGTGCAAGTAAGGAAAAAAAAAAATGTTACTGCATTTTTTTAGCATGAAAGTAGGGGAAAATACAAGATTAAATTTTTTTTGTACAATCCACTTTTGCAAGTAACTTACTTTCAATTTCTTGTAAAGTTTTTTTTTTTACAAATATATATTTTGGTAAAAGTAGTCAACTACTAAAAATTTCACATAAATTTCATCTTAAAAAATTTTTGTATTAAAAAATAAAGTTTCTTTTTTTTTATTTTATTTATTTTATAAATATTTTAAACTTCACAACATATTTTTCACTAATCAAACCAACCCTTTTGGTTTAATTTTCTTTTTTGTTTTATATTAAGGTGTTTGATTACTTTGTATTAGTGGTTGGTAACCCTTGCTATCTTTTTTGACTCATGAGGTGTCTTAACTTAATTGTATTAGAGCTGCCAGCTGATATAGATCATGATGTTGTGTCCAGGGTCCCAAAACTTATGGGCAATTGGAAATATTTGGAGTTTTTACGGTTTGGAACCACCTTTAAAATGGAAGAAATTCTTGCCCAAATCAGCATTCACTGCAAAAACTTTGCTGGTTTCTCTGCTTTTCATGCTGATATTAAGAAAGATGAAGCCACATCTATTGTCACCTCAGTTCCAAACATAGAGTATTTGGGGTTAAGGTATTCAAACATTGATCGAGAGAGTCTATTGATGATTTTGAAGGGCTGCAAAAAACTTGTATATTTTGATGTAAGGAACTGCAAAGGTTTCGACCTCGGTGATGATGAGATTTTGAAGCTTGCTTCTCATATCAAAACATTTGAGGATGAGGGGTTGTATTTGACAACAAAACATCATCAATGTTATTGTGGCATTATTTTGAATGTGATTTCTATATATAATTTGTGTTTTTTTTCCCTTTCTATATACATTGATGACAATCATACAACTCCTGGACGGAGGGTGTGTTTGTTTGATGGCCCACTAAAAAAAGGTCCAAACACAAACATGTTATATGCCAACATTAAAAAGAAATAAAAAAAAGTTAGCTCAATTGAACAAAAAAAAAAAAAACTATTTTCAAATTTTATTTTATTATATTACTCAAGATTTGCCTCTGTCTGGGACCAATTAACTGGATTGGAGAGTTTTGACCCATTTTTTAATGAATCTCAATCCCTACTCAGAATTTTTTTGAAGAGTAATGCTAGAGATCCTAAATATTTTACTAAATATTTTATCAAATATCTTTACATCACATGAGTGTGAGACCTACATATAGAATTCACATGATTTGAGTCCCATATCAGCCATTTTAAGTAGAATATTTGAGATTTCCTAGCATTTTTCCTTTTCCTTCAAAAATGTTAGAGGCCCCAAAAATTCTACCAAATGTCTCACATGGTGTGGGACTCACATGGGACCCAGATTGTGTGGGTCCCACACTCATGTGAGACATTTGATAAAACTTTCGGTGAAATTTTTGGAGTCTCTAACATTACTCTTTTTCCTTCTTTGAATTCTTTTCCTCTTCCTCTCTCGAGACAAACAAAATATCTTCCAGACTTTTCAACTGGCAGAGGAAATGCCTTTCCGCGCATATTTATATATATGTATATCCGAATCCGAGGCTAGAAGGGTCTCTGTGAGCAAATGCATTGAAAAGTTCTCTTCACTTAAAATCATTTTCCATTCAAGGTATAGGAGTAGAAGCGTGATGTTTTGTTTTCCTTTGTTTATATTGCTTAATTTTGATATATATATATATATACACATTAATGTGATGTATATTCTTTGTTTGTGATTGGCATAGATGAAACGAGGAAAATGGGAGAATTTGAATACGGATTGCATGGTGAATGTGTTGAGGAGAGTGGGAATTGAATCACTAATACTGAATGTTCCGTTTGTGTGCAAGTCATGGTACAAAGCCTCGCTCAATCATCTGTGCTGGCAACGCCTTGTTTTTCCTCGAATGCCTAGTGTTGATCATTCATTTCCTTGTGATGGCTTCACGCCAAAATTATTGGATAAATATAAAATTGTAAGAGGGGCTAATTTGAGCCCACTAAATTATTTAGACCCAATATTTCCTTGTGATGGCTTCACGCCAAAATTATTGGATAAATATAAAATAAAAGGAGAATTCTCTGTCACCTCATTCATCAAGTCCATAGTCAAGCGTGGTGATAAATCCACCACTTTTCTAGCCCTTCCCGTCTCTTGTACGGAAGAAGCATTGTTTTATGTTGCAGATGAGTAAGTTGGATCTACTACATGCTTATTTATTTATTTTTATTTTATTTTATATTTTTGATCAAACCTTTTTAAGAGAAACCTCAATCTCTGGCCACATATTTTGTTTCTATATATTTTCAATTACTGGCTTCATGGCTCCATGACATAGATTTTATTAACATGTAGTGTAATTGTTAAAGAAATTTGAAATGCTTGTACATTTTTTTATTCTTTTTTTTAGGTACATATAGGAAATAAGAAAAGAGAGGCTAATTCTTCCCGTACACATATCCTAGGATATCTATGCATTTTTTTATTCATCCAAGTGTGTGTCACCCTTAGAAAGCTCCTAACCCCTGGTTGGGTGTATATAGTCACCAAGGATCCTCTAGAGTGTTTTTTTTCTAAAGTTTCCTAAAGTGGTGTATTGTGTGGTTGAGATTTAATGCTGAAAAATTGATGTGACTTGTCATTAAATCTCAACCACACAATGCATTACTCTAGGAAACTTTAGGAAAAAAAAACTCTAGAGGATCCTTGCTCAATTAAAAAATGTAACTTTTTTTATTCTCACAAAATGTATAACTTCTCTCATAAAAAGTATAACTTTAGTTATACATAATGAAGAACAACTGAATCTTTTATTATATCTTTATGATCAGATACATTGTATATTTATACAGATACCATGTAACAAACTTCCAACAAACTTGAATAGTGTCAAAATATTGTTTTTGCAATGTTGTTTCAATGGTACAAATGTTATTTTTATTTCCTCACAAAATGCCAAATCAAAAGTCGTATATATTGATCCCATCCTATCATGATTTTTTATTGAGTGGTGTTACGGGCGTAAATTCTTGAACAGAAATTTACTCAAAAAATTATATTTGGGATGCAAGACCTTCATATGAATTATTTTTTTTTATTATACTTTTTGCACGTCTTTAGTGTTTACTATTCACCAGGTGTCCTAACTTGAGGGCTTTGGTGATGCCTTATGAGTCATGTTTTGAGGATGAAATCATCCCAAAACTTATGAGCAAGTGGAAAGCTCTGGAGATTTTAGTACTTGGAAGCAGCCTTGAAATGGAAGAAATCCTTGCCGAAACAGTCATTCATT